CAGTGTTAGCTCTGTCATTGAACTTGTTTCACCAGGAAGCAAAATTCACTTTTTGCTGCAGCAGAAAGACTTCCTCAAACACGAATATAATGGCAGTTTGTAACTTATAAAAAGTTGATATATTTATGATTAATACAACCCGATTAACCAAATCAGTTTTGCTGTGGTCTGTTGGGTACTGCACACAATAGTTGAGCAAATATGCAAATCAATTAAAATGCAAAGTTTCGACATGTCTAAAAATAAATAAATAAATAAAGTTAATGGTGTTGGATTTTGACTTATCATTGGACATTACATTTACAAATTAACATAGTTCAGAATTTAATAATCAATAATTAACACCCACCAAAATATTTTTTTAGTGTAAAGATGAACTTCTTAACCCTACAAAGAAAGTGACACATTTGGCTGTGGTTGTCAGGGACAAGAGTTACATACTGCCTTGTTAGATCAGATTTAAAATGTCTATTACTGTCATTAACATTTTATCAATGGGCTGGTCCAAAACCTTGTTCTTAATCTTTCTCATTTTTTTATTTTATCTTGTAGGAAAAAAAATTACTAAACATTAGTCAGGGATCATTTTAGTTAGTTTCTAAGCACAGTTGAAAATATTGTCTTTTTAACTTAATTATTCAAGACTAAATTGGTTGTTGAAGGTGCATCCTTTCAATTCAGAAACACTGAAATCAATCTAAATAAATAACATCCTCGCAAATCGTTATATCAGTTTCATTGGTTAAATTCTAACAGTGTTTTATAAGTGCAGACGTGCAGAAGTTACTCCTGTCACCACGTTCTTCATTTATGAGCGCTCCCAGTGTTTTCTCTTCATTTACTATTGACTTCCGGGGGAGATTAGGAGCGCATAATTCACTGTAGTCTCAGCATCAACCTTTGACCCGTCCGGCCTCAGCAGCCCATGCCCGTACACCGGCATGCATGCATGCATGCTTCAGCACAGCGGGGCGGTCTATCCTACTGTATGAGCGCCATCTACAGAGCAGAACCAGGCACAGGCAACTGGCAGATGATGATGATGATGATGATGATGGTAATGATGATGATGACGGCCTACTGACTGACTCTCTCTTACCTTCTCCTCTGAACACATTCAGTCAAATAACAGAAGCAGCTTATATGCAAATAATATATATAATTTAACTTGGTGAA